GCAACAACAACAATCAATATTATGCTAAAAATCCGCCCCTATCAACGCCAAATGCTACTTAACATGCCACCCTGTCAGTTTGCCACTTAAAAAGCGTAAATCAACATTTAATTTTATTCAAATGTACACATACAGACGCCCACACACACACACACATGAAAACACCCTGGCAAATACACATAACATACATATGTACATTCATGAGCGCATACCTCCTTGTGTATTTATTGTAACAAAGTATGAGCGCCATTAAACCAAACGTATAAACCAACAAAGCCAACAACATCTTACAACACAGGCTAACAAAAATACTCAAAAAAAAAACACAAAACAAAAGTGGCAACAATGTGCCACAAAAATGCTGACGAGAACTATAACCAGCGAATTGATGACGGAATGATGGGCAAGGGTGCGGGGCGCGGGGCGCGCATACATAAATGCCAAAAATAGTAAGCATTACAGCCAAAGAATTTCAGCAGAGAAAAAAGACACAAAAGAAGAAAAATAAAATTACAAATAAAACTAAAAAGAGAGTGTAGGTAGAGGCAAAGAAGCCCAACTGGAAGAATTGCTACGGAGTACGACGGAAACGTGTGTGAGAGCCATTTAATGTGTCAAAAATAAAACCCAAACAAATTGACATATGCATGTGTAATTATTACATTAAACAGAAATGGAAGCAATAGGTGGCGGCGCATGAGTGCGGTGAAGGGAGAAAAAATTAATACAGGCAAAGGGAAATAAGAGAAGCGGCTGGGGTGAGAGAGAAACGAAAATAGGAGCGACAGGAAGGCCAGCGCTGCCGACAGGAGCGGTGACAACTGAAAAGGGCGCTGAGTAAATTTACATGCATAGCTACATTTACGTATGCGAAAGTGTGTGTATGTGTATGTGTGTGGGAGCGCACACGTTTGTAACACCGAGGCGGATAAGCAACAAAAAAAAAACGCATGCAACCAAAAGGCGATAAGAAATTTTCTGTGAATATGATTAGACGAAAGGGGAGCAGTGGGTGGCAGCGCTGGAGGTTTGATGACTGAGCGCGCTGGCTCAGCGCGCGTCGCTCTAACTAGCGAAGCAGCGCGCCGATGGCCAACAAGGCAACAAGGCAAAGAAGCAGAGCATAAAAGGTAGCAGAGAAAAAAAGTAAAGCAAAAACAAAACACAAAAAAAATTTAGCCAACGCAAAACGTTTCCAAAATAAATCAACATAAGCGGCAGAAGCTGAGGCAAGCAGGAAGGAGCAGCATAGGCAACATCAACCAAGATATGAGCAGCAGCGCAGCAGCAGCAGTACAGCAACAAAATGCTACTGTGACACCAAAAAAATATCTACAGCGAACTGAGCGCGCAGCTAGCCGACTGCTGCTAAAGGAGGTAGTGATGGTACAGATAGCGGCGACGGTGAGGCAAAGGGTGTGAGAGAATGAGCTCGCGCGCGCTGACAACAGCAAACCAAAATATGTATGAAAAATAGAAAAATCACAGCACAACCACATAGCGCGAAGCGTATAAGCAGGCGAAAAAAAATGATAAACAGCAAAACAGCGCGGTCGCGTAATGAAACGAGCAGTGTTGGGTGGGGAGGGAGAGAGGGCAGGGCATCGAGTGCGCGTAAAACCAACGCGCGCGACCGCGTTTCGAGCAGCAAACGGAGGGTGGCCGGTGTCAAACACAGGTTCACTGTGCCGCCGCAGAGTTGATATGCGCGGCAGCGCGTCGTATGTACGTACGTACATATATAGTAAGTACTTTGAATTGTAGCTAAATGTTATGCGTACAACCGCGCGCGCGCTGCCACCTCCACCATTGCCAACGCTACAGCGCTCGTAAAAGTCACCGTCACAGGGCCAACGAACAACGTTGATATGAGAAATATACACAAACGCACGAACGTTGCATATGTATGTACAATACTCAGGCGAATACACGCGCAAGCTGGTTTTGCTTTGCGGTCGCTCGGTTGCTTTGCGCTCGTTAACACAAACGTACACACACACGCGCGCGCGCGCACATTTTTATAAAGCCGCACGAACGAAATTTCTCTAAACTGCTTGCGAGGGAGAGCGCAATGGCGCGCTCGTGGTTGTGTGTGTGTGTAATGGAAAGGTAAAATAACTATATACATATATGTGTGCGCGCGATTATACATACAAATACATGTGTGCGCGTTCGATATATCTATGAGATACACAGCGACCAAGCAAAGTCGTCGTACGAGTAACGTACAAATCCAATGCACAGCAACAAAACAAGCGACGTGCTCTCGCGCATATTTTTTTTTTGTTATATCTTTTTTTTTCTTGAACAACTCTCTATCGGTTTGAGCGCTCACCGCGCGCGCCGAGGTGAGATGAGGGAGCAGAGCGCCGCAGCGTTAAAATCAATGTACGTATGCGCGCATACTCGTACATTCATACCTAGCATTGGCGCTGGGGCAGAGTACATTCAAGATGAGGCGAGAAAACGAACGCAGCACCCCACCACACCACACAACTGAGACACAAACGTTCGAGTCTAGAGACCTGTATCCACACAAATATGTATGTATGAACATACAATGGTGGAGGCAGTTAGCAGCCGCTGCGGCAGGCAACGAGCAGCCAAAACGAATGAACGAACGAGAGATTGAACGAGCGCGGCAGGCAGAGCGGCAAGGCGGACAGGCAGGCGGCATGGCATGCATGCATTCAATACTACGTCCAAGTGAACCATTTAGCTTAAGCAGTTTTCAGTTTCGAGTTTTGTGCTGTCGCTGGCAGTTCGGCCGCAAATTGAAGTTTAGTTCCTTTCTGGCTGCTGTCAAATGTCGTCATGTTTTCCTGAACGTACGCGCGACGCGGCAATAACAAAAATATAACAAGAAAAACATATTCAAGATTCTTCAACGAGCAAAAGAAAAAATTTGCAGCATTCAACAATCCGATAATTAGTGGATGACGCGTACGAAGAGAAAGAATTAAGTGAAGCAAATTAAAAGATTTTATTAAAAAAAAAATTAATTACAAAAAGAGAACAGCTAAAATTCACTGTCAACGCTGGCGTATTGGATTAACGGCGTTCGACTGATAAAAAGCAAATTAAGGCATTGATAATAAAAAAATGCAAAAAAATAAAAACAAATTAAATAATTAATTACTGAATTAATTGAAGATGTGTGACAGTTATGAATGAAAATTTTTGAGAGATACTAAGCAGATAACAGTAGCTAATAAGCACTAAGTGCAGCGAGTGATAAGAGAAAACTTGATGTAAGAAAAAATACTGAAACTTAAGAAAATTAAGAAAAAACGCTGTGCAGTGAAATACAACAGACCATTAAAAAAATAAAATGTGAAAGTTATTAACTGCAAGTAAAAACATTTGCTGCAGCCGAGAAAAAATTATTAAAAATTTTAAAGCCAACCGGTTCGTGTGTGAAGTGGATTGCGCATAAAAAAACAACAACAACAAAAAGCAAAAATAACACACTGGCGGACTGTTGTTTGTCTATCAAGTGTCAGCGGTGAAATTTTTGTTTGGCGAAAGGCAACAAATCTTAGATACAAATAACAGCAAAAAGCCAGTTGCAAAATTTGGAGCAATGCAATAAAAAGAGTGCTGATGTTGCAAAAGAAAAGGCAAAACTAAAACAAAAACATACAACAATAAAAACAAAAAAGAAAAGTGACGCACAAAATCTTGCACACATAAAATAGAAAAGAGAATTTTGGGGAGTATTTAAAAGAAAAGGTTTGCAACCTTAACCAAAAATATTTTTGCAAAACAGAAATTTAGGAAAATTCACAAAAGCAAAAAAGTGAGTGAAAAAATAAAAAAATTATAAATAAAGCGCAACTGATAAGAAATATACATACATGGACCATCTATCGCGTGACAATTACTGTGCAAGTGAAAGTGTGTTAAGAGGGATTTTGAAAACTGAACAGCAACAGCTGTACAAAATTAAAACCATTTTAAAGCTAAAAGAACAGCAAAAAATAATAATTTGAGTAAAAATTTAAAATTTACGCAAAACTAAAAATTGCCGGGGAAATAAACCAACAGCGCTAAACAATAAATTAAAAAAAAAAAATTTCAAAACATTTGTGGGAAAAAATTTTAAGGCACCGAAATTCTGCGCCAAAGCAGCAAGTTGAAAATTCAAAAAAACTGTGACTCAAACAATTAAAACCAACTAAACAAATAGTTATTTAAAAAAAAAAAGTTTGCGCAAAAACAATTAAAAGTGTCAAAAAACTCAAACGCTACTAAGCGCTAAAACCGAAAAGCGTGTGATGCTGCGTTAAATGCATTTCTGCTAGCTGCACAAGCATACCTCAACTAGCGGTAACAAGCCAGCAAGCACGCACGCACGCATAAACAACAACAACAAGTAACGCCAAGCGGCCACACACAGCCTAACCAACACACACACATATACATGCGTACGCATACACGCGCAAATTGTGAGCGATAAGTTGCAAGCAACAAAAGAACACGTGCAAGCCGAATTGAGCGAGTGAGCAGAGCAAAAGCAACAGCAGCAGCCGATAAGCTATAAAATGTAAACAGCAGCAACAACAACAACAACAAGCATAACTAAAACATTTATTTTGCAAAATAGTGCAAAACTAAAAAAATATATATATAAACGCACCTACATAAATTGCTGAAGCAAAAAGTTCCTCATCAGAAAAAAATAATAATTTAAACGAATTTTCTCCACTTAACAACAACAGTATTATTGAAAATTAAAGAAAAAACAAACCTAAGTAATTAAATTAATTGCAACAACAAATATTCCTAATAACCAACAGCAGCATTGTCGATAGAGATACACTGTAAAGCAAGAGCAGCAGACATTTTTTGGCAAAATAAAAATAAAATCGAAAATAAAAATTTTTGAAAAACTGTTTTCTAAAAAACTTTGAAAACGAAAACTTTGGAACATATAATTTCGAAAAAAAAAATTTAAAGAAAATTTTGAAAAAAAATTTAAAAAAATAAAATTGTATTAAAAATTTCTGCAAAAAACAGCTTATGCTAAAACTAAAAAAAAAAAAACAATAACAAAAAATAAAAATAAAATTCTTAAGCAGAAACAACACTAAAACCCAGCCAGTGCATAGTATAGCAAACGCTTTTGTGTGCGGTTAGAGTGCAAGCGGCCGCAACAAAAAGTCAGTGTTAATGTGTGTGTTTTTCGAGCGATGCAACTGATTGTTGACAAAATTCCCATGTTTTCGAAACAAACAACGAAACGTAATTCCAAAAAGTAAGTTGAAAAATTTTACCAAAAATAAATTAAATAGTATTGGAAAAAGTAAATAAAATACATTTAAGAAAAGGGGACTTCATAGAGCCAAAAAGCTATAGAAAATTGACAGAGCTAAAAAAAAAAACTGGGAAAAATTTTGAAAAAAATTTAGAAAAAAAAAACTAATTTTGAGCAACTGATAAAGAGATAGTACACATAGTGCAGTTCTGCAAATAAAATATGTTTGTGTCTTCGTCAATGTGTTTGTGTGCGTGAGAAAATGCCAAGCGTCAGCCTAACCTTTTGTAATTAACACAAAAAGCAACAACAATAGATTTTTGCACAAACAAAATTAAACGGCAAACTTAGACAATTTAAATTACTGCAACAACAACAACAATAAATTTGGGGAAAAACCGTAACCACTGTCACCAAACGCAGCTGCTGCTGAAAAACAACAACAACAACAACAATTGCATTTGTTCGCCATCCTTGGATTTATTAAGTGAAATTTAGGTAAAACATTCATATTTTTGTGAATTGCAAACCTAAATATTTAATAACAAAATACATTTTATAAATAGCTTTGTGTTTAAAAAATTCAAAAGAAATAATAATTTGCTGCTTTTGTTGTATTTCAAAATATTAAATATTTAATTGGCTTTATTTTGTGTAAATAAACGTTAATAAAATTTGCGCGATTTTTAAGCTAATTTTGGGCATGACTATAATTTCCGTTTTCTGAATAATTTTTATTTTTTTTTGCAAAGTGACATTACTTGGTCTATGTATATTGTTGTTGTTGTGTGTGCTATTTTTATTTCTCAATTCAGTTGAATTTTTTGTTGTTGTTTCATAAGAAAAAAATTTTCTTAGAAATATCGAAATTTTATTGGCTTTAATTTGCAGCAAAACATAATATTTTGTTGTTGTTTGTTGTGATTTAAGGTTGTATGTGTATGTGTACAAAGAAAAGTGAATATGAAATTTTTTTTAATGTTTTTTAATTTTTTTTATTTAAAAAATTTTGTATTCTCGAATCTTACTTATCTCGAGTTTCTAATTTTGGATTTCCACTAGCCAAAAATTTTAATAAATAAGATGGGCATTAAAAAACAATCGTGTCATTACGTTACAAGAATAGTCATTAATTAGCTTTTTTTAAGTGGCACCAATTTTTTGTCATTTTAGTGCCTAGTGGAAATTCGGCATAAGTGTATAATTTTAAGAATGCCATTTTTTGCTAGAAACTTACCACCACCAAACATTTTTAATGTTTCTTAATCAGCAAGCAAATTTTTCCAAGTGAGATGAAATCAAAATTAAATTTTTAATAGAAAGCAACCTTAAACTTATTGTTGTTCAAAGTTGAACAAAATTACGGGCATAAATATTTCTTCAATTAGGAAATGATATTAATAAATATCGCTGAAATTTAAAAATTTCTAAAAAAATAAAATTTAGTTATTAACGTTAAGCATTTTTTCTTTTACTGTTCTTTTGCCGGGAAAATGTTAAAAAACACTTTTTTGCTTTCAAATTTTATATCAAAATGTATATCTTTTTAGTTTCGACTTTTTTTACTTTTTCCATTGTTTTTTTTTTTTTAATTTCACAATTCTTCAAGTTTTATCGAGAAGAAAATGTAGTATATAAAAGCAAATTTCAGTTAAGTTACGATATTAAAAAAAAATCCATTCAAAAATATTTCAAGTTTTTTCGAATACAAAAGTACTTATAAAAAATCAGATCAAATAAGATTAAAATTGTAAAAAAATATTTTAAAATTTTTTTTTAAATATAAATATATATATACATTTTTTCAAACCAAAAAATTTCACAAAAAAAACTAAGTAAAAATTCTGCACGTGGGTATTTATCCCCAAGCTTACAAAAGCCGATCGCTCGCAGAAAAAGTGTTCAACAACCTTCTTGGCGCTCGTGTCCTTACAGTTTCGGCAGAACCTGCGAAAGACAGCCGTGAGTTTGTAGACATTTTCATTGCTCATTCCCAACATAGCTCTGGTTTCTTAGCGGGTGGTAGGTATTCCAGATCTGTTATGTCTGAAAAATATATGAACTTAAGAGATTATAATGAACGAGCTGGCGGAGCAAGAGACGAGCACCAGAAGGAGAGCGAATCACTTGAGCCTTGGGAGAGTACTTCCCTTACTGGAACAGATGAAGTTTACACTCAAGGTGCTTCACGTCTTTGTAAAGGCAGCCTCGGCTACCTCGGAAAATAAGGGAAAATGTGTCCAAGCAAAATGAAAATGAAATCAGCCAAGAGAATAAGATCAGCAGATCAGAGCAACAAGCACCCCTAACCCCCCAAAGTCTGAAACACAGCTGAAAACTTTGCCATATATGGAACAAATGGAAGAGTCTCAACGAAAGGCGATAAAGTTATTTACCCAAAAATGGCGTTGTAAATAACAAAAGTCTTGAAAGTTGTTCTACGCTCAGCCCTTCCTACCTAGCGCTAAACGAAAAACCACGGAGAGAGTCTCAAAACAATCAAAGTTCAGAAAACAAGACGACAAGACACAGTTATGAAACAAGATTAGCCAATCGAGGCTCATCTAAGCAGCACGCACAAGATTATAGGGTTAAATGGGATTTTCGTTTAGAAGCCAGAGCGTCATAAGAAGTATTGCCAAGGAATAAAAAAGCTAATCAATACAAGAAAAGAGTTAAGCGGACACGGATCACAAGAACTCCAAAATGGAAACATCTCCGAAAAGACTAGACCGAATATCGAAAACTAAGGCGCAAGAAAATTTTCTAAGCGGCCCAAGATAAACAAAACAGTATTAGCAATATAAAAAAAATAAGATTGACAGCGTTTTAAAAAATACGCTACCAGATAAGATTATTTTAGAAAGTACTAAGCGGCAAAGTAGATTTAGTAATAGTCGACGATTAAAAAGTGGTGAACTAAAAGAACGGCTATCACAAACTGGAGAATAAAGTGAGCTTCAAGAACAACGATCTATACAACTATCGGAAATAATATTATCGCGCATAGCCGAACAGCGTAAACAACAATATGACCAAAGTGGAAAAGTTGCAGGACTTGGAAGAGAGACGTCCTCTAGAAGCACATTGCGGCCGAGAAAAAAAAACAGAGCTGGGAAGGCTACAAGCTTCTAAGGAAAATTACGAAGGAATAGCGCAACACTGGAACAATCGGAGTTAGGAAGCAGACGTTCGACTAAACTGGACAAACTGTTTGTAAATATTATTTTAGATAGTATGACGGCAAATAGAGCCAGGCAATAACAGAAATTGTATTGCAATAAAAAGAACAAAGTGATTTAGCACTTTGAGGGTCATCAAGGCATGAACAAACGTTTGAAAATATAATCTTAGAAAGAATACTTTCACAGCAGATTAATAGAAGTAAGTTGCGCACGATAAGCCAAAAAATACCATTCAAACATCAACGGTCGGAGCAAAAACATGGTGATCAAGAATTGAGAGACAATATGGCGCCATCAAACAAAGTAGGAGAGAACTTAAAGAGTCAAGTAATGCAAAGAAGCAAACTAAGTAGAATACCGAATATCGCTCGATCAACTAAATGAGCAACGAAAGAAGCAAAGGGATGAGCCAGTAAATAAAGTTTCAGAAAAGTCAGTATTGGAACAGAAAAACCAAACCGAAATTGAGCAACGCCATTCACCAAGAAAATTACAACGGTTTGATAAATCGTGCAATTATTTTCCAAAAGAGTTACGCTATGAAAAAGAGTGCACGAGAGATAATTTGGATCTACCAAAATCTTCAGGCTCTGCTTGCAGGTAATAAAAAGTAAATGATTAATAAGTAACCCCGCCGAAACAGTTGAGTATATCAAGGGTTAATGTTATTGTAGAAAAATTCTTTCCAGCACTTGCCGCCTTCCCTTTTTTATCATGGCTTGTTACTCGTTTCACAAAATTTAGATCGCTATTTAAGCGGTGAGTAGAGCGATATCGGAAGGGGGAGAGAGACGCTAGCGGCTGTGAACAATTCAGTCGTGATTTTGGGCATAGTATATTATTTGAAGTCCATGCAGCTTATTAAGCACACGATGACTTCATCTTTGCTCAACGTCTCTTATCAGCAAATAATTCCCCGAAAAATTTATGTACATTTTTTTTTTAATATTTTTGCAACATTTTGAATGCATGTAGTTGATATGTATATACACATATTGGACTAAAATCTGGAAATTCTTTGTCTGCTAATTTTTGCTTAATTTCATGTTTACTTTTTAGCGCAAGAAAAAAATCGCATATTTTATTTTGTTTAAGCTAAACAATAAACGGTTAAGCGAATATATACACTGGCAGCAGTAATAATAGACTCGTCGTACTTTGATGAGTTTTGGCTATATCTCTTTGGTTTATTTTATGTTTAATATTTTATTATAAAAGCCCAGGTAGTTAACAACGACAAACATCATATAAATCCGCTTTTGAAACTTTGAACAAAAATCATAAAAATTCGACTATTTTTCACCAAATTTTCAAAATTTTGTATTCAGAATTTTTAGAAAAATTGTTGGTATGCAGTTTTGTAGCCCATTCAATTTTAGTATAATAAACTGTAAATTTTAAGTGGCTAGAAAACACCGTTGATTTTTGAATTTTTTTTTTGTTTCTCAAAACTCTGAATAAAAAGTGTGAAAATTTGGTGAAAATTTGTCGAATTTCGATAATTTTTATACAAAGTTTGAAAAGTGGATTTATATGGTGTTTATTAGTATAACTAGCCAGGCTTTTATAAAAAAAATATTAAAAGTAAGGCGAGTCTATAATATCTGCCGCATACATAAATATGTATGCACGTAAAAAGATATGCGCTGTTTAAGATAAGCAATCGTTTTTCGTAGAAAATACACAAAAAAAAATGTGTTTTAAAATATCGTAAAATATGTGAAGTAATATCAAATCAAAAACAAAAACCAATTGTCTTCGCATGTATCAAAATTATCTAAAACAAAATCTTTTATCGCAATTTTCTGTCTGCTC